CGTCATATATGACGTCTTATTGACCGCCGTTTTTCTTTTAGAATTAGTGTATTCAACTGCTATCTCAATCATCTAAATAATATAATTTCCATTAACAATAAACATTGGAATTGCTTCTTTTTCAAGTTACAAACCTGTTTCGTGCTGAATTTGGCAAATTTGACTTTTTTATCTGGAAAAAGGTCAACTGGAAACAAATTGGTAACTTTCTTTAACCCTGTGGTAACGACCAGCGAGTTGCAAGAAAACAGCATTTTTCACCAAGTCCTCTTCTTTAGACGGGGTTTTGGCTAAATAGCATAAGAATGAATAAAAATGATTTTGTAACAATAAACGCATATTTTCCGACTAATCGGACGTAAGTTTTTTCGTTTTCACGCACGAGCACAAGCCCAAATGTTGACTTTTTTGCGAACCTATTTCGAACTTTTTCTCTCGCTCTCTTTTTTTTTTCCTTTGCTATTCTTCTTTAATAGCAGTTTTGTTGCCCACTTTATCTTCTTTCTTTTTCATGGAATTGTGGCTGGCGAACTTTATAGGAAAGGGACAAATTTAATCTTCAAAGAGTAGTAGGTAAACTGCCAAGTTGTCAATGGATTTTCCCCAAAATATTACCTTGTGATGGTAAGTCTGTTAGGATTGGTCAGAATATCCGAAACGAAGAATAGCTGGAAAGATCTATGGGAATTCGCATTCACCTGAAACCAAAGGCTGCCCAAACTCACGTTAGGAAGGGTGTAAACTAATTTAAATACCATAGGTAACTCGTGACCTTCAAGGCTGGACGCGCCGGTGTCGTGTTACAGGCGACCGTTGAAAATAGACGACTTTATAAGAGAAATAAAATACTGATATCTGCGAACGCTGAATAGCGTTAAATCTAATTTTTCCTTGAATGAAATGAATAAAAAAGACTTAATCGCAATGTATTTCACTATGTTTTGGTGTCTGCTAGTCTAGTTTTTGAGCAGGTTGATGTTTATGTTGATGTTATATTATACACTTAATTAATGTCAGGACCTGAGATTAAGTGTTTTGTTATATTTCTAGACTTTCAACACTCGACTCGATACTTATAACAACACAAATTTAATTCTTAAAACCACTCAATGAATGATTTACTAAGTACTTCCCGTGGATATTAATCCCTATTAATATAAATCTATACCCTTGAATGGACAACCAGCCAACAAGAAGGTGTAGGATAGTGAGAAAGGATGGCTTTGCACAGCATATTAGCAGAATGCAAGCGAACTGACAGGGACATGGTGAGGTACAATAGGACAGTATCGGAACGCCAATCACCCAAGGCCTTAATCATTTCAATGGGAACCTCCGATAAATAGGCAAAGGACGCACCCTCCCTGCAGAAGGAGTGGCCCGCGTAGTTGTTGGGGTCGAGGCCCAACGTAGATAGATGGTGGCGCAATTTTTCGACAAAGCTATTATAGGTGAACGTATGGGTGTGAAACGATTGATCTACCCCATTGAAAGCCTGCTGGTCCCGCGACGAAACAGGGGCAGTGAAACTCAAAGCACGGTATAGAGCCGAAGTAGGGCAGAGTGGGAAGCCAGGGATTCGCGTTATGGGTGTGTCAACGACTCTTTCCCGGATCTGGATGGTCTTGCTCCACCTTATCGTAACAAGAGCGCCCCAAGAATAAATCTTGAAATCGCTTTTGGTGAGTTGCTTCTTGGTGTTAAACGAAGATGAGGTGGTAGGCAAAAGGTGCGATTTTCGAAACATGCCGTAAAAAGCGCCTAGACAAATGGCCCAAAACGAAGAATCGAGGCTTACAGAGTGGTCCAGTTGGGGGTGTAAGAGCCGCAAAATTTTTGGTGTAATCGGAAGCTTTTGAATTACCGTAAGTCGGCCCTGTTAATGGCCGTGAGTAGGGATTTCAGTGGCCAATTATTAAGCAAGGGGTTTGGTAGGCCCATTTCTTTGTGAAGTAACCCAATGATATCACGATAACTGCGGACCGAAGTAGCTTTTAAGGATCTGGCAAGAAAGGCTGCATACTGCAACAAGTGATCGGGCCGAACCGGGACCGGAGGGTACCCCATATATGCATAGAAACGCAAACACGTATTGCGATGGGATTTGTAAGTGGGTTTAGTCGATTCTGCAAAAAGGTTCCGCCCGATAGCTATGAACTTCCAAGAGCAGCTGCATAGCGAGCTGGGGGTTCTGCGCACCTAGAGAAAACAAAACGACAACTTTCAACTGACATGTGGTTGCAAAGCGGCATATTGTTAACAAAGCGGTGGGGCAAATAATCTAATAACGCGGTATAAGAGCGGGAAAGAAGCTGCGGCTGATGAAGGCAGGAGATCGCATCAGTAACAGTGTCTCGAAGACCTTCGATGTGCAAGGCAGTGATGTGGAAATTGTGTCGTGCCGACAACCAAAATAAGTCACGCAATTCCTCCATGATAAGTGCGTTTGGCGTCGTCCCGTTGCTAATAAATGAGCGGCGACTAGGTTGTCGCTGTGAATAAGGACCCGGTGGTTCGCCCATTGAAGGGCTCAGCGCTTTGCTGCTAGTATAATTGCGAGCGTTTCCTTGTGGTTGATCTGGAGACTCAACCAGGACGGACAATCCAACTCGAAATTGAAATATATCCAGTCTCCCCGAAAAAAGGCCCCCGTCGCTAGGGAATTGGAATCAGTCATTACGTCAACGGTCGGTTTGTGGTCAAGGAAAGGCCACCCGCCGTTGAACACATGAGGAAAACTGTCCCACCACGAGAGGTCCCGGTAAAAGGATTGAGACAGCCTGTATTTGGCCGTACTTGCCATTGAATTGATAAGGTCGAGAATTCTACGACGAAATGTGCGCCTGCCGTACACCACCCGGCAAGCCCAATTTAATCTACCTGCCAGTCGTTGTAACTGATGCTTAGTTGCGCGCGTCGCTTGTGTTGAAACTGTACTATGAGGCGTTGGAATTTCTGCAGTTTTGCGGCAGGAAGCGTGAGTGAGAACAAGACTGGAATCACGTTAATGATAACTTTGACCTCGATACCGCGGTGAACTCGCTTCACTCTACTTTAGAGAAATTAATGAACGAATGTTTTCCAAGAAAATCGATTCGAATGTCTTCTAGAGACCCTCCGTGGATGAGTCCCTTAGTGAAATCGCTCCTGAAGAAGAAAAAACAAGATCTCGAAAAGGCGGCGGGAGAGACCTAACTGAACTGACGGAGAAGATAGGACGACTAATAGCTGAAAATCGCCGAGCTTTAGCGTCTGGGAAACTTGGATCGCGAGCCTGGTGGAGGAAAGTTGATCGACTCTCCATGCGTAAAGACAAGTGCAGCTCCGATCCAGATAAAGATTTCATCATTGGCTTAAATGATTATTTCGGCGACATTTGCTTTGATAGGGAATATTCTAAACCAGTTCCTTCCGAGATTGATGTGAACACCCCTGCTCCACAACTATCTACATTTCAAGTGTTTCTTGCCTTATCGCGAATAAAGCGTACTGCCACCGGACCTGATGGGATTCCTTTCTGGATATGGAAAGATTATGCTGAGATATTTACCCCAGTGATTGAGAATTTATGGAACTTATCTCTTGCTCGGCAGATCTGGCCAAGTCGTTGGAAGGAGGCTAACATCAATCCACTCCCAAAAGTCGAGACACCAGTCGAATATGCGGACTTTAGAGGAATCAATGTTACTCCAGTTATTGCCAGAACGTTTGAAAGAACAGTGTATAACATTTTTAACAAGAGGTGCCTGGAGGAATATCTGAATAATTCTCAATTTGCGTACCGTTCAGGTGGAAGTTGTGTTAACGCTCTGTTGAAAATGCAACATACATTTCTTGCGGCATTGGATAAACGGGACACCTTAGCGGTGAGAATGTTCACGATGGATTTCTCTAAAGCCTTTGATAACGTTAAACACAATCTTCTAGTTGAAAAGCTGAAACATAGTCCACTTGATTCATTCATTGTTAACTGGTATGCCAACTTTCTCGAAGGTAGAAAACAAAGGGTGATTTTTAATAATTTGACATGCCAGTGGAAAATTGTTAACAAGGGAACAACACAGGGAAGTGTCAGTGGCCCATATCTTTTCAACATATTTTTGAATGACCTAGAGATAGATGGGTACAAAGATATATCCTTGTTTAAATATGCAGACGATTCAACCGTCTTAGTCACGATTACTAAAGATTCCCCGGATATATCTGACATTGCCTTGTCCAAGTTTATGGATTGGACTGTTGCAAATGACATGCATTGTAACACTAGTAAATGTAAGGAGCTAATTATGCGTAAGAGAGGCAATTCAACAGTCTACCCAATGTCTCACAATATCAAACAATATAATAACATTTCTTTATTAGGCGTCACAATTCAAGGTAATTGTAAGTTTGGCTTGCATGTCAAGGCCAAGCTCCATGAAGCCAACAAGTGTTTATTTGTCATCAGAAGCCTACGTAAAGAAGGATATACACAAGATGAAATAGACCACCTCTTTAATTCAATTGTGATCCCTAAGTTATTATACGGTCTTTCAGTTTATGCTGCAAGTGTTTCCGAACTTACTGTTATACAAAGGTTTTTAAAAAGATGCTATAAGAGGCGTTATACGTCGGTCAATTACAACATATATGAACTTTTGGAGAAAAGCGACAGACGCCTTTTTTATAACCTCAAACGCGATGACCATCCATTAAAAAGCTTGCTCCCAAGGTACAAAGACTGTATTGCAAACCTTCGAAGGAAATCCATTGTCAGGCCCAGCATTAACACTGAACGTTTCAAAGATAGCTTTTTTAATAGATTAATTTTTAAATATAATCTAGCTGTGTAAATACCCCATATGTACTTTTAATCAATTTAATCTTTTTTATTCGTCTTAATCATTGTAATTTTTTTTTCTATCAATATATATTTTTACTGTAACATCAGATAGGTAATTTTATCTGATGCTTTTTAATAAAGACGTTATTATTATTATTAGTGTACAAGCGGTGGTGTTTAGTTCGACACCAAGAAACGTGAGACATTGCGTTGGTGGAACGAGCTGCCGCCAGCTTATTGAAAAACCCAAATCCTGGAGTAGCGCCAAAAGTGAGTCATGTTTTTCTTTGCAATCGCAGTAAGTGCTTTCGTTAACAAGAAAATCATCTAAATAAACCATGACTTCATGGTAGCCGCGCTTAGCCATCACGCGCCGAACAGCCTGTGTTAACCGGTGAAAGACTTCCGGGGAGCATTTTTCTCCAAAAGGCAGGCGAGTATCATAGGAAAAGGTACCGATATCGTCGCCCTCGAAACGCCATTTGTAGCCGGTAGCCTGGTAGTTGGACAGGTGAATGGAAACGGAACGATACGCGTGACGGAGGTCAATTTTTTTCATGTAATACCCCGGCTGGAGTGCACGTGTCGCGTCATCAAGGGTTTGGAATCTAAACTTGTCTGTGGTTATGTAATCATTGACCGCACGCCCATGTGGTCTAGAGCAATCATGAATAAGGCGTACCTCAGTCGAATTCGGCTTGGGAATAGCTCCTAAGGCGCTTACGACCGTCGGTTTAGTTGCCGAAATAACATAGTTTCCACGTCTGATCTGATCGCTAACCGTTTCCTCTACTGTGTTCCCTCCTCACAGCAGAGTTAGTTGCCTATTTATAATTCGGCATGTCTACTTCTTTAAACGTGGTGTCAACGCCCGTTAACTTAAAACCAAATAATATGCCATCGCTCAAAAATTCGCTATCTGCGTTCCCCTCTAATTCGGATAACCATAAACTCTGATTAAGGGTCGAATTTGTCAGGGGTAGTCACTGGGGGGTGGCCCTCGTTCCCGGTAGTGGGGAAATGAGGGAGGTAGCATGGCTATGACCTGGGTGGCTTTGGCCGCACGCCCTACCCCCCTGAACGCGTCGGTTACAAGCATGTTCGTAAACGCAGTTGGGAAAGGAGCAACCCCGAGGGGAGTTGTAGCTACGGCAAATGGTACGCCCCTGTACCGCCACCGAAATGATCCCCACCATCGAAATGATCTCCGCCACCGAAATGACCCCCAATCACCACCGAAATGATCCCCACCACCGAAATGATACCGGCGGTCACCACCAAATGATCCCCGGAATATCGGGAATGGAATTAAGAGGACTACAAAAACTGGACAACAATTTAGAGCGTGCTTTCTATGTATTTATATTGCATCTTTTTTACGGTGTGTAATTTACCTTTTTACCGCGCTTTATTTTGCAGTAAATTGTTTGTTTGTTTTTTTTGGTTTAACACTAGACAATACTTGTTCAATAGATGCATTTCACTTATGTCTTCTATTTCTTCGAATTTCTTTTTATATTTTTGCAAGAAAATTAATCTTCTTAATCAGTGTATAGAACTGTTACCAGTCTATTTGCTTTCTCTATTTTCCTCTGTTTAGAATCGTGTTTGCATGAATAAACGAAAAATTTAGAATAGGTAGCAAAGTCCCAAGTCCATTTAAGCCAAGGTTCCGAAAATTTAAGACGGGATCATTTCGATTGCGAATAGGTATCATTTCGGTGGTGGGGATCATTTCGGTGGTGATTGGGGGTCATTTCGGTGGCGGAGATCATTTCGATGGTGGGGATCATTTCGGTGGCGGTACAGCCCCTCGCTAGTTGTGACAGCGAACTGAGTGCTTGGGCCAGGGGCTCGACTTGTAGAGTGGGTAGGGGTAGGGGTTTTGGGAATGGGCTCTAGGATAACCGTGTGTAAATGGTTACAATCGAAACTCCAGGGATAGCCATAGGTGGCTTGCAATAAGCGAAACTCATCATCATACGTAAGGACAGAGGGCCACTGAAAGCGATTAGATAATTCCATGACTTTAACTGTGTAAGCAAGCTAATTTTGGATGTCCTCTAGCGAATTCAACTTCCTACTTATCATTAAGTTATAAAACATTCTAGTATTGGCTATCACCCACTGAGAGAACGTGACCTGTTGTAGCTTAGGTTTCTTTGGGCCGTACGACACAATTAATTTGGTATTTCCCCCATCTGAAATTGTTTGCTCGTCTTCGCGGGGAATGATATTGCCTACAAAATCTATAATTCAGAGAACTTTCTCACCCTTCGGCAACTGCGCGGGTCGTAAGAACATCTCCGAGGCTCTTGATTCCATGGCAGTGTTGGAGAGACCAGCAGGGGGAACCAAGGACAGCACATCACCTGGTAGGGTAGGTGAAAGGCGAAAGGCGTGCCAAGAAGCTTGGGCTTCGGCGAGCTTCGTAGAATTGAGCGGGTCTAGGAGGCCATCAAGCGGCGTTCTCATGTCCTGGAGGGGAAGTTGTCTGAGATCTTTGATGGACTCGACTTGCAGTTGGTCGTGTCGGTCTGCTGCAACGGAGCACGTGGCCGATGCGATTTTGGCCCATTCTCCTCCAATTGTTTGCGTAAGGCCCTCTTTCCTCGTTCCTGCGCTAACCGCTCCTCCTCCAGGCACAAAGCGGACAGTCCGCCTACTAATACCTCTATTTCGTCTTTCTCCAAAGGTTGCTGGATGGCCAAATGATCGTGGGGCTTAGCTGGGGAACTTTTGAATTTGCCCTTGAAAAATTTACTGGCGATGCCCCATTGGTGCTCGTTGAGAGGTTCACTGCAACCGGCACACCTTGCAATACGCTTGGGTTCGCTATCTTTTACGTTGTTTCCCATTATAAATGCAAAGCAAATTGTAAAGCAAATTGTAATACAGCCGAAAAGACTCGTCGTCTCGCTATTGGCTAGGCGTGCATCTTTTTCCTCCACTAACTGCTGTTTCGTTTGTCGGATAACTGAAAAAATTGTTGCTTTTTAGCTTGAGGCTTCGTCTCTGTGTTGTTGTGTTCATTCACTAAACAACAAAACTAGCAGTGTTTTTCCAGCCTTCTGCCATGCCACTTTCCACCACGCTCTGATCACGCGCTGTAATGTATCCCAGCGGGGTACATTGCTTAATGTATCACGATCGGGATACATTTGATTTTAGTCAAGGCCACGTTAGCAATAGCGGTTCCCTGCTTATTTGAGTGAAAGTTTAGGAATATAACAATAAATAATGATGACGTCGTAATTTCAGAGGTTATATTCGACGATTTTGTATTTAGCAACATAACTGATAGCAACGTGTCTTCATGTAAAAGAAACTTACCTTTAAGTGATAGTATAGTGAACAGGGTTCAATGAGTTCGTCCCGAGTCATTATTGTCACAACTTGAGGTAGGCTTCACAAAAGAATTCGAATATAAAGCAGCGTTACACCTCATCTCTGCTCCTGCTTTGCTACAGAAATCGTTTAAATCGCTCGGGACAAAAAGAATACAAATACTATCAACTGCTATCTCTAAGTCATAAGTCATTGTGAAACCTACCTCCGGTTGTGACAATAATGACGTAGAGACGTTTGATAGTATTCAATATGAATAGTTTATTAAAACTCTCTTGCAGTAAAAAGAAGTGAATTATCGAGCACATTTTACAATCTTAAGCAACTATTATCTAGAGTATAGTAATTTACAGTTATAACAATGAAATAACAATTGAATCACTTAAAAAATTTAAATGTGAAGAAGTCCTCCACTCTCTTTGTCCTACAGACCTGCATGTTCCGGAAAAGATAATACTTTTGTGTTTTCTGCCTTAAGGTGTAGTTAGGCGCGTCCAGAAGTGGGCTTGGAAGTAGGTGGTGCAGAGGGTGGCTGGGGGACTTCATTTTCGCCATATATTTGTAGCACAAGAGTACTCTTCTATCATCTAAACTATCTAGTTTACCTAACTGTAAGGCATAGGCATATGACTCTGCCTCGGGGTAGATTGTGTTAAGCACCCTTTTTTGCACTCGCTCTATGGCTTCGGACAGGTAAGCAGGGATGTTCTGCCAGACTGGTACAGCATACTCTAAAACTGGCCGGACTGTGCGAAGGTATATCCTCAAGATGTTGGGTTGGCTCACCCTGGTTCTGCGGAGACCTCTAAGGGAGTATAACTACTTACAAGCTTTCTTGATAATGTAATCAACATAGCAGTTCCATTTCAGGTCATTGTCCATAATAACTCCTAAGATCTTATAGGTATTGACACGCTTGATGACATTGCCGCCAATTGTTATCCTGTTAATGAGACAATTAGATTTGCGTAGGAAATTAATATGTATTTCTTTACACTTGGTTGGATTAAGTCTCATATTATGAGCAATGGCAAAATTGTGAATGTCTGAGGCCACTACATTAAGTAAGCTAGGGGAGTTCCTTGGAATTATTTCGAGAGCACTGTTATCATAGACGTATTTAATGCGCAGCCGCCAGTCAGACAGCAGTTTGTTTGTCATCACCGAAAGAGGATCACACCCAGTTTAGTTCCTTGGGGCACTACTCCTTTAAGTGTTAACCAATTCAATCTGACAGAGTTCTTCCGATTTTGACTGCTTGCTTCCGTGATGTCAAGAATGCCGCAATCCAAGATAAAAGGACTGGATGAACTTCAAGATCTGCCAGTTATTCCTTTTGTGGCTGGTAGTTCTACTCTACCTGTTAGTATAGAGGGTCATAATATTTATTGTTTAATCTGGAACTGCTGTTACAGCAGTAAGTGGTAAAGTGTGGCGGACGTGTTTGTGTCACGCTTACCCTAAACTACATATGTCTGATTCAGAAAGTGTGACTACAGTCAATGGCTGTCATTTGGCCACTATTGGGAAGTCTTCCATGGAATTTGTTATTGATTCCCGAGTGTTTCCTTTCGAAGCCCGTTTGATTGAAGATTTATTGTATGATGTTATCCTTGGTAGAGATTTCGTTAAGAAATTTTGTTTTAAAGTTGATTTTGAAATTGGAATATTGAATTTTCCTTCTAATCCCGACCCTTTCCGTTTTAAGGGTGTACTCTTTGATGATGATAAAGATTTGTCAGATAAAGCCTTAATTTCTTCTTTCCCCGCCTCTCGTACCTTTGGTATTCCACCTCAATCGGAAATTTTGGTTTCAAAGGAGCTTCATTCTTTACAAGGTGAAGTTGGCATTAATGGCATGATTGTTGCAAAAGCTGATTTATGCCATTGCCATTCTATTTGCGGAGCTTCTGAGCCTGTTAGTGTTCCAGATGATGGTATGATCCCTGTAAGGTTGGTTAATCCTTCCTTCCCGCCAGTTGAAATTTACCATAGGACCCGTTTGGTTAATTTTGATGAGGAAGATCAATGTGTCGCAACTTTTGAGCTAAATGCGACTGACCGAATTGAGGAGCCATCCAATTCTAATCGCTTTCTTTCTAGCAATCGTGAGCAACTGGAGAAACGTGATTATTCTCAATTTGCCTGATTTTTCTGAGAGTATTCTGTCAGCTGATGAAAAGGTTAAGTTTCGCAATTTGTTTGAGAAATACCGTGATGTTTTTGCTCTGTCTGATACGCTGCTGAGTTAGGTAGAACATCTATAGCACAGCATGTGATTGGGCGATGCTTCCCCAATTAAACAAATGCCCTATCGCTCCTCGCCTGAAGGTAAGCAAGAGATTAATCAACAAGTGGACGATATGATTAAACGTGGAATTATTCAAGAGTATGTTAGTGCTTTGTCTTCCCCTGTTGTTTTAGATAAAAAAAAAAGATGGTTCTATGAGATTTTGTGTTGATTACTGTAAATTGAACAGGGTTACGAAGAAGGATAGTTTTCCCATGCCTCTGATTGCTGATATTAGGCGTCCTTATGTGACATGCGATTTTAATTATTTCCAAAAATAAAGGAGAAGCCGAAAGAGGCGAGAGCTAGTGAACTGCAGAGACTTGATCTTGAGCTGAGTGAGATAATTGATTATCTAGGAAGTGATGTTTCACAATCGGATGATTGTGCTGCGCGCAAACGTTTGTTCTTGAGTGACAGTTTTTATATTGGGCTTGACGGTTTGCTTTATCATTTGCAAAAAAATCGAAAGCGCAATTCTTGGGATTCGTTCCCTCAGCGTTAAGGTTTGAAATTTTGTCTAACGTGCATGACCACGGTTCCGCTGAGCATTTTGGGGTCCATAAGGCGTACAATAAGGTTAAGCAAAGGTATTGTCGGAGAGGAATGTACAAAGATATTGAACACTGGTGTAAATCCTGTACTGAGTGTTCAATGAGGAAATCACATAGAAATTTTAAAAAAAGCACCTTTACTTCCAATTACAGTCGAATATGATATGGTGGCTGTTGATGTGCTGGGACCTTTCCCACCTTGTGCTAGTGGCAGCAGGTACGTTATCGTTTTCAGTAATTACCTAGCTTACTTTATGGTGTGAAGCATTTCCCGTCCTAAGCGTTGAAGCCACTGTAATTGCTTGTCTTTTAGTGGAAAAGGTGACAGTTAGACATGGTGCCCCTAGACTTTTGTTGTCTGATAGGGGAAACATTTTCTTGTCTAAAATTGTAATCGACGTTTGTAAAATCTTTCAAATTAAAAAAGAAGATACTTGTAGTTATCACTAGCAGACTGACAGCCTAATCCGAAAGATTTAATTCTACCTTAAGTCAGTCACTTTCGATTTATGTTGCAAAAAATAAGAAAGATTGGGACGATTTTTTAGCGGGGCTCCCACGCGCGCGAAGCAGAGTCCCATACTCATGGAATATGGTCAACATCTCTTCGTTTGGTTGTCATGTTGTTGAGCGAGCGTACGTACGTACGCGTCTTCAGATTGTACGGGTGGGGTAGGGGAGAATGTCAAAAGGAAGGGAGGGGTGTTTCAGGCGTGTCTTGGCAAGTTCACATCTTTTGAAAGCTGTCAAAACAGGATAGCCACTGACCAGTATCCCATGACCATATCGCGGGCTCATGTGTCAACTTATCGAGTTGACATGATTTATTCTGA